ATTCCCCTTTTCTTAAGTAAGCCTGTTTTATTATACTAAAATAATTTAGGTTCAATGGATAAAATTAAAGGGGCAAAAGTGCCTAGATAACGTTCGGGATCTCTCGGCGTCTTCAGGGTTGAATCAAATTTTTTTGATGTCTTGCTTATGATCTCCCGGCGTCTTGAGGCTGTTGTATTATTTAGGGGGATCTCCAGAGAAAAAAAAATTAGTCTTTTTATAAAAATATCACATTAATATAAATTAATTACTTATTAGGCACTGTTTAAGAATATTTTACCGATCTAACAAAATTTTAAGAATACCATTTTAAATAATATGAAAAGTTTTGATATTTTATAAATTTATTTAATTATAAAATATTTTAAAAATATTATTTTAAAATATAACATAAGACATACAAATCTTTTAGGATGGACTTATAAACTTCGATCTTACAACGTACGAGACTTATGATAAAAGACACTTTCTTTTTCATTAAATGTATAAAATACACTTCTCGATATATTATATGTAAATATATGTTAACTATTTTTTATTTAATTTTACTTTAAGTTGTATATAATTTTGAGATATTTTTTCTTTTTTCCTAGACACTCATAAAATAATAATACGTCAATAACGATTTAATGATTTATAAATATTAAATTAAATTGAAATTTAATATTAAGTTGTACAAAACTAAAAACTTATATATTTTTTCATACATTATACTAAAGTTTCGGTATATTTTTTACCGATACTTTTTGATATTAAAATATTATTGTAAAAAAAAGAGAATGAACTACAATAGAAACATCATTAAGTGGTGTGCCACTTATATTTTAGGTGAATTATATACTGAGTAAACTTATATAAAATTTTTATAAATTTTATAGAATAATATTCTTAAAATTTTGCTAGATTCGTAAAATTTTCTTAAACAACGCCTAATAAGTAATTAATTTATGTTAATGTGATATTTGTGTAAAAATATTAAATTTTTTTCTATGATAACTTAAAACGCCTTAGATCCCCTAAACAATTCAACACTCTCAAGACGTCGGAAGATCCCAAGTAATACGCCAAAAAAATCTAGTTCAATCCTGAAGACGTCGAGAGATCCCAAACCTACTGTATAAAACATTCCATTTGAGAAATTAATCAGATGAACACGTTTGTTTAAGAATTAAATCCTCCATGTAACGTTATCTGTATACTTTTGCCAAATTAAAGGTTAGGCACTTATTTTTTGTGCAATAAAAGTATAGTCTTGCTTAGGTAAAATAAAATTATACAACAATCAAGACATCCAAATAAATTTACTTCCAAAATGAACAAAAGAAGAAGAAGAAGAAACCGTGAAATTGTTTCTTTAGCTAATAAAAATCTATTTTTAAAAAACATTGTCCCCCACTTTAAAATGGAGGGAAGATTGCCACTATAAAAAGCCCTGAAACCCTACTTTACCTTGTACCTAAACCAAAAACGGAAACCCCAACTCATAAATTAAAAGAAGAAACTTTCTTTTTTGTGCAAACCCAGCGAATTTGTTAAAACGAAAAACGAGCTTACCAATGGAGATGAAGAGAGAGAATTGGCATTGGGATCAAAAGAGAAAATCTCAATAGCTGAAGAAGAAGAAGAATGGAAGGTCGTTGTCCGACCCAAGACGACCAAATTGAGGTTTTCGGGCCGCCGAATCCATGACCCGCACCTGACGGACCCACCCGCTTCTCCTTCCATTGGTGAAAAAGAGGAAAAGGCTAAGAATAAATTCAACAATGAGATATTTTCTTCTTCTTATTCTTCTTATTCTTCTTAATGTTTCTGGGTTTTAGAACGGGTGAAGAGGAATTACGAGAAAACTAGGAGTCTTATGAAAACAGAAAAACAATAAGGTACGACTACGAGTACGACAAGCGAGAGGTACTATGTAAACAAAGCGTGTCTGGTTTCTTTTGGAAAAAACAAAGCCAACTCCGGTTTTGGATATTCGCATTATCCAATATGATTCCGCGGAAACATATTTTAATCATGACATTTGTTAATAGTGCAAACTGTTTTAGAAGAGTCATTCTATAATAATGTTATAAATTTATTAATTATTAAAAATTAAAAATTAGAATAAACAAAAATATAATTTAACTTAAAATTAAATGAATAAAGACCTAAAAGAATAAAAACCAAAAACTTTAAGAGAATAATAACTCCTCATTTTTTAAAGTTAAAGATGGAAAAATTGGACTTAGTAACTAAGTTGTTTAGGGTTTTAGAATTACTCTCAATTGCAGTTTAAGATATATACTATTTGTATTTTGATTATCTTTAAAACTTGTTGACTTGGTGGTTAGTTGTAAGTTGGAACCTAAGGTGTTTAGGTTAAATCCATGAAATTGACAATCTAACTTTAATTCTTATCCAACAAAACGTCACATTAATTCATTTTGAACATCAAAATAGTCATATCAAATTGACGTCATTTTAATATAGTGTCTACGTCGAAAATCGTTAGTTACATTATTGAGTTGATAACGATTTAATGATATAATTGAACGAAAATCAAAATTTAATACTATAGTTGATAAAATTAAAAATTTAGTGGTATAAATGATGTAATGCCTAGAGTTTAGTGCTATCTAGTGTAAATTGCCCTAATTTTAATTTGGAAATCTTGATCCCCTTAACTTTATATGTTTAATTTTATCATCAATAGTTGATTTGATAAATATAAAAAAAGGTAATATAATCTGTTTAGTCCTTGATGTTTACATTTTTTTAATCAAATTGGCCCTTAAAAGATGTAAAAATATATGGTTGATAAATTTTATTATGCAATCAATGATTTTTATTTTATTTTATTTTATTGCTTTTTAAGAACAATGATCAAATTAACAAAGACATTATGCATGGAAATTAAAAAAAATAAGAATAACCTTGAAAATTTTAAATTATGATATATTATATATATTTTCTTTGTATTTTTTACTTAATCTAATTTCGTACCCCTTAATTTTTTTTATATAAATTCCTTGTACCCTAATATAAAATCTTATATCTATTCCTACTAAAAAAGTTATTATACATTTCTCTGCATGATCAACAATTAATAATAAAACTAAAAATAAATTTTAAAAATAATAGTCTTAAATTAAAAATAAATAACTCAATCTCATAAAAAATAAAAAATAAAATTTAAATAATGCAAAAACCCTAACATATTTAAAACTTTACAAAAAGGGAATATTTTGATTGGGTCCATGTGGAACGTCCCAATCAAAAGGCCGATGATAAAAGGGTTTGGAACCACGAGCGGAATGTGGGCTTATCCCACATATTTCGTAACCCATTGTGTTAGTCTCACTGCCCATTGCACTAAAGTATTATTTCACAATAGATTTTAATTTAAAATTTTCATTTTCTTCTTAAAAAATTCAAGTTTATTATCTATAAAATTTTTATTTTGCACACGATAAATCTATATAAAAAATATATTATTAATGCATCGAATATTAATATTTCATATTTATATTTTTTATATTGCATGTTTTATATTTTTCAATTCACTTTTCCATTGACCATTTTCTATTTATATTGCCAAAACTCTTTTCTAAAAGAGTAAAAAATGATGATATATCATTTATAGTTGTGGATTCAAAAAATTTTAAATTTTTTTTTAAAAAATTAATATATATTTTTAAATAAGATGAGTATACAACTTTTTTTCTCCTTCCCTTAATATAATGAATTATATTTAATAATTTATCTAAAATAATAAGTATATACTTGGCTCCTTAACCCGATTATTCGATAGTACATGAGATAAATATCATGCTACAGAGATACACGAGATATTAATCCCATATTATTATGAATATATATATATATATATTATTAAAACAACAATGATTATGTAACACAGAGAATAACCTCTTTATTTGCTAAAAAAAAGAATAACCTCTTTGATTTCAAATATCTAATACCTATCATCCATGGAGACGAAATACCTCGAAATTCTTTTTATACACTTATATATTACTTATTAAATTTCAATAAATTATATGTAAAACATTAACACATGAAAATGTTAGAATTAGATTAATTAATTTATATATATATTATTTTTAGAATTATTTATAAAATAACACTCTTTAATATTATTTTATTAAAATAATATTCTTTTAGTATTAATATTATTTAAGATTTGAGAGAATTATTACTTATAAAATAATATATCTTATATAAAAGTGTTCAAATATTAATTAATATCAATGTATTTTTATATAGTAAAATAATTTTGATATCATTCGTTTGTATAATTATGTTTAATTTTATTATTAAAATAATAATTTGGACCAGTTATAAACTATTAAATCTGTAGGGTAATTATATTAGTGATCAATGAAGCGTGAATAAATTTTTTTATCTGAGTATTGAAATGTAAAAGGAACAAAAATATTATGAATATTATTATTTTATGCTAAATAAATTATTTTTTATTGATATAAAGTTATTACAAGATAATATATATATTGAAAATTTTTTGACAAAAAAATTTAAACAATTTTACAGTTTCTAATATTCAAACCTGAGATTTCAAAAAATAAAAAAAATCTTTTTAACCAATAAAATAATTTAATTCATATTAATAAATCGATCATTTAGCAGTTAATCGTGGCTATCAAATACATAAAGTTCATGCGGCCAATTAAATTCGCTTAATTGACACCGATTGATCAAGTAAAACAAGTGGTGAGCGAGGTTTGAGCTTATACAAAGAGCTCAATTTTATTATTAATCTATGTGTTATTATATAAACTCTAATTCTAATTCTAATTCTAATTCTAATTCTAATTCTAATTCTAATTCTAATTCTCATTTTTTGATTTAACATTTAAATCTCTGAAATTTAGTTTGAATTAAAATTAAAATTTAAAATTCAGAAAAATAAAGAAAATATAGATCTAATATGGAAAGTAATGGCAGTAGTCACAGGAAAAGAATCAATTTCACTTTTCCCAGAAGAATATTTAAGGAAGATCCTTTTTAATATCTAACTAAATAAAAAAAGTTTTTTTTTTTCTTATATCCTCTTTGACTGGAAACAGAAATCGAAAAAGAAAAGATTAGTAGTCTGGTGTAATGGCAAAGTAGGGAATTTTTTTGGGAGAAATGCTGGCTATGGAGAAGGATTTCGATTCAAAGCTTAGGATTCAGGGAACCGATGATAACAGCAAAGACAATTCTTCCAACAATGTTCAGAGATCTAAAAGCTTTGCATTTAGAGCTCCTCAGGAGAATTTCAGCATCCAGGATTTTGAATTGGGTAAGATCTACGGCGTTGGTTCTTACTCAAAGGTCAGTGTGTTTTTTTTATTAACTTCATACTTTTTGCTACGAGTTTGATTCTAATCAAGGCACTGTATCAATAGATCACACACTATTGTTGGTTATACTTTCTATTTTTGGCACTTGGTTTTATAGTTTATTTTTAAGTTTGATTATTTTTATATATGCTTGATTTAGCTTTATGAATTCGATGGGCAATGATGATCTTTTATGAATTGTGTGTTTTGGGGATAAAATTAGCTGATCTCTGTGAATTTTTACTGGTGATATAAGCTGTTTGTTTGAATGAAAGGCGCTAGCTTGTAGAAGTTTAATGCAAAGAAAAGAACAAAAAATTATGTTGCATAAGCATAACAATGTTTTATTCTGTTTCTGTTTCCTATAAGATGAATACTATTTCTCCTTGAAGATGTGTTATATTTAGGCTTTGCTTTCTAAGAGAAGAATGGAAAAACCTTTTAGAGTCTGATGGGGAGAATCGTAAGTACCCGCTGATTGTTTACTTATTCTCTGCCCATTATCTGCCTGTTGCCATAAGTAACTAGCAAAGCGACTACAGTTCAACCTGCACATGAGTGCAGTGTGGGACTTGAACCTACTGCATTTCCTTTTACTGCTGGATCAAGTTCTTATTTCGTATAGATAACAACATTAACATCAGATACTTATTTGGTTCATTTTTTATGATGCTCATCTATTTTTTCCCTTCTCCTATTTTGTTTTCCATCATCCCAGAATGTACATCACTTAGTCACAAACCCTTTTTATTGTTATTTTGTTTTGAGTTTTGAAAATGTGAGGCTAAAATAACTTACTTTTTCCTGTTATTTGAGCACTTCAGTTGTGTACTAGACAATAAATGTGTGAATGGAGCAATTTCTTATATGCGTGGTAATGGCTAAGAGCTTAAATTAATGTAAATAACGGATAAGAGCAGAAGAGGCAGAAGCTGCCAGTATGGTTAGCAGTGAGAAGGGATGATTTGAAATGGGCATTTATTTTTGTTTCACTTTACTCCTTTAAAATAATTACATGGAATTTGTATGGTGGTGATGGCTGCTTGATATATTATTTCAGAATACATCTGTTCGTTTGCAATGCAGATAAAATAAACATCCTTAGAGTTAACAATTATACATGGTTGATTAATTAATATGAAGGCATGGGGGCTTATTTTTTTATTATCATTAGTTTTGGTTTTAGTAATCTTTTTGAATTTTTATGGCTAATGTTCATTGACTTATTTATTTAGTATATGTTCAGTTTCCATTTCTTATTTGAACTTCTTCTTCACGTTAGTATTATTCTGAATATCATATTACCGTTGTCATCAGGTTGTTAGGGCGAAGAAGAAGGATACAGGAATGGTGTATGCTTTGAAGATCATGGACAAAAAGTTCATCACGAAGGAAAATAAAACAGCTTATGTAAAGCTGGAACGTATAGTGCTTGATCAACTGGACCATCCCGGTGTTGTGCGGCTCTATTTTACATTTCAAGATACTTATTCACTGTGTACGTGTTCTTGGTTGTATCTTCCATTGGTATTATGATTTATGTGCATACTTGTTTAGTTAATTTTTCCGAAAGCTTTTCTTTCTCAGTTCTCTTCCATTAATTATGTATTGCCAGTTCATTCAATTAATTTTGTTGTTTGACATTTTTTTCTTTGATTATATTGTGAAGATATGGCACTTGAATCCTGTGAAGGTGGAGAACTTTTTGACCAAATAACAAGAGTAAGTTACTCTTGGCATGTGATCCTACATACTAATGATAAATTCATATATAAAAGAGGGTGTGTAATGTGAAAGCATTTTTCTGGAGCATATGATTGAGTTGGTTGAAATTGAATTAGTTGCTACGTAAATTACTATTCAATTCAGTGAATGTTATTTCAATTTCTATACTATTTCTCTGACAAAAACAATAAATAAATGTGTACTTACTCTATGATCAGTTTTATATATGATCATAATTCTACTCGGTCACCACTTTTGAAGCTTCTTAAAACTCATTGCAAAACGTTGCCAACTCTATCCCCTAGTTATAATATTGAATGTTTGAATATTGTCAATCATCTTATTATCTTTTTGTTCAGAAAGGTCGTTTATCAGAGGATGAAGCTCGCTTCTATGCTGCAGAAGTTGTAGATGCTCTTGAATACATACACAGCATGGGATTGATACATAGAGATATTAAGGTACTTTCACAATATGTATATTCTGTTACATCAACACTTGTAATATGCTAATGTTTGTTGTTACATGGCAGCCAGAGAACTTGCTTCTTACTACAGATGGGCATATTAAGATTGCTGACTTTGGCAGTATAAAACCTATGCAGGATAGCCAAATTACAGTCCTTCCTAATGCATCCTCAGGTAAAATCACAATTATATCACGTTGAAACCCTCACTCGCCGTGTTTAAGACTAATATGGTCCTCTCCAGATGGTAAGGCATGCACGTTTGTGGGGACAGCTGCATATGTTCCTCCTGAAGTCCTAAACTCTTCTCCAGCTACTTTCGGGTAAGAGACCTTGAATCTCTTAATGAGCTTGCCTAACAGTCTTGATTAAAATTGTCAAACTTGAAGAGGAATCTCAATCTTGCTACAACTAATTTTAGATTCTTTTAAATTGTTTTTCTTCCCCTTTTTTCTTGATTTTGTTCATGGGATAACTAGTTTGTTCTTTTGAACATATTCAAACAGAAATGACCTCTGGGCACTTGGCTGCACCTTGTACCAAATGCTTTCAGGGACTTCTCCTTTTAAAGATGCAAGTGAATGGCTAATATTTCAAAGAATCATAGCCAGAGATATAAGATTTCCAAATTATTTTTCTGAAGAAGCTCGAGACCTTATTGATCACTTATTGGTGAGCTCCATTTTTCTGCATTTCGGATTTGATATATACTATATATCCATAAACTTGTATGTTTAAGACTTTTTGAAGCTGTTATCTTTTTCTCTTATTAGATGTGTGTTGTACTTTTTTAAAGCTGTACATTTATGAAGTTCGGATAAAAGGACTCAGGAAATGCATTGGTTTCGATATGCATGTGGTTCTCTGCACCAACTGGGGATGGAAAATCAACTTTTGTTTTTGAAATTATGAGATAATTGCCCTTATTAACATTTTTCGATACCCACTTCCCAAAATAAACAATAAATGATTATGTTTTTGTTTATAGAACTTCTAATGAAATTTTATAATTGTTTTATTTATTTTAATGAATGGTAAAATTGGAGTCGTGCACATCCAATGTCATTACTTTTTCCCCTTTTTTTAGCTTCGGTTTATCCTATGTTGTGTGTGATGTTAACTTCTAGGCTAAAGGTTGTAGCCTCAGACTTGTAATGCAACCGTATGTGCAGGATCTAGATCCCAGTAAAAGACCGGGTGCCGGACCTGATGGTTATGCCACACTCAAGATGCATCCTTTCTTTAGGGGAGTTGATTGGAGTAGTTTAAGAGCACAGCCCCCTCCGAAGCTTGCTTTAGAGACAGGGGTATGATGACAACATCTGTTTTCAACCATTGTTTTTGATGGAATCCAAAATTTTCTTTTCATATTGTCTTTTCGGAGTTTAAAATTCTATTATCATTATGATAAAAATTTCAGGCTCAATCAAGTGAGGGTGACGATTATAATGATTCTTCATGGAATCCTACGCACATTGGAGATGGTCCAGCCCGAAAGAACGATGGAATCGTCAGTGCCTCATCATCGGCTGAATCATCTGGCCATATAACTAGACTGTCCTCAATTGATTCCTTTGACTCAAAATGGTATTTGTCAATGTCTTATTATTTTCTCAGCGCACGTTCTTTGATTTTGTTGAAAAGGAAACATTCTAAGGAAAAAGTTCAAACCTAAAGATTGAGCTACATATCGAAATGTGCTATTTTGTCAGTGCAACCATTAAATTAAATTCGTTTTCTATCCTTACCAAATGGAGCCTTAACATTTGTTGTTTCTTTCTCCTATGCTGATTTAAGCAGGCAACAATTTTTGGATCCGGGAGAATCTGTTCTTATGATCTCAATGGTGAAGAAACTACAGAAATTAACCAGCAAGAAAGTGCAGCTTATCCTCACCAACAAGCCAAAGTTGATCTATGCTGATCCTTCAAAACTGGTTGTGAAAGGAAACATTATTTGGTCCAATAATCCTAGTGAACTCAGCGTCCAGGTCACAAGTCCATCGCACTTCAAGATTTGCACGGTAAGTACATGAGCATGTCCTGATAGGATAGGAATGATTTCATCAAACTTATTAATGGAATGATCAATTGTACCTGGAATCTGGAATTTTCGTGCACCCTGGTGCTTTTTATTCCATTTTTCTCATATGTAGATAGTCACCTTGCTTCATTGTTCCACTCTCTGATCTATATTTGTGGTGCTTCAGCCAAAAAAGGTATTGTCATTTGATGATTCAAAACAAAGAGCGTGGCAGTGGAAAAAGGAAATCGAAGGGCTTCAAAACCGGTGAAGGGAGTTTTATTCACATGAAGCACCGTATTCGTTGGACTTTTTTCGATGTTATAGAGGAACTTGGGAACTATTAAACAATTTAACATCCCGAAGCTATTCATTCTTGGATTCAATCGTGTCTCGTGTTGCAGGCTGCCACTGGTTCATTGTAAGCTTTCATTCCTTTGTTGAGTAGAAGAGTTTTTTTTACATGTTTCAAGCACATACGATCTGAAATACAGTTTTAAGTGAAAAACAAAAAGGAAATTAAGGATGAAGGGGAAGAGGTTTTGTTCTCAATTATATTGGATGTTATCAGCCATTAATGAAAAATTCTTTTCGTGATACCGACTTTTGTTTCTGTACAAAGAAAGGTTTTGCTCATTTTGAGAGTCGATGCATATTATCTCGGCTTCTTTCCGATATTGACAAGGCAGCTGCCATTAGCCACCCTCTATCAACGGAAATGAGTATTTCCGATGGCATGTTGCTTAAAGCATGACAGTACTTCGCTTGTTCTTATACTTGATGGGTTAACAATACATGAAAAGAGAGTGAAATTCTTTTAAATTGACGAGAATATTCATTTTCACTCACAAAATTTTAAATTAGATTTAATTAAAAACCTTTAATTGGATTTTAATATCATAATTGGTTGATATTTACATTAAATATCTTTGCTTTGAAAGTACAAAGTTTTACATTTAAAATTAAGTTTGATTCAAGGAAGAAAAAAAATAGACTAATTGATTAACTTATTATATTATGTGTTCACAAGTAATCTAATGTCACGTTTTCGGAGAGTTGAGGACATTAATCTTATATCAAAAAGACAAAAAAGTCCTAAAATTTAAAAATGATATCACTGCACCTCATATCAGATATATATTTTTTTTCAACCATTATTGGAAAAAAGTATCTTATTCAAGAAAAAAAAAATACAAATTTGGTTCAACCATTATTGACTCGAACTTGAGATATCGATTGAACTAAATTCAAATATCCGAATAATTGATTAACTCAATCTCGAATGCAAATAATTGAGATTGAAATCAAGAACATTTTTCACCAGGTATGGTAAACAAGCCTAATAGTATGAGCTCAAGCAATTCCATCTTTTATCTCAACTGAGATTGAGCCTCTATAAAATAAAACTTGATCGAAGTTATGATCGAGTTTCAAGCCACAAATTATGAGTCGAGCTCGACTTGGCTCGATTACACCCCGACTTTTACTATTGAATTCTACTATGTCAGTAATCCGACAGTATCAATTATTCAATAATGAGGTCACGCTGCAGCAAGTGAATAGTCTAAACAATATGTACACAAACTAAATCTTCGTTCAAGAAAAGAATCAAGTAAATAGCAACTACTAAAAATACCTCCTTAAGAAAGTTACCAAGAACTGAACCGGCATCAGCGATTCAGCTGCATTGCCTCTCGAATCCACACTTTCTTGCTTCTGTCCTCCAATGGTATCTAAAACTAGATCGATAACAATCGAAACGGCTCTATGTTCTCTGTACAACGTATCACGAAACCCGTCCAAAAAGCTAGGGTCAGTATCTTTGTGCCACCATATCCAGATTTGCTTCTGGAAGAGAGCCAAGATTCGAACCAAATCCGATTATTAAGGCAAAAATGGATTACTTTGGCTCACCTACATATCCAAAATTTCATCAGGCTGAAAATAACGGTCGTAAATAGAAAGCCGGTCAAATGCATCGAAATTTGCCTTCAGTCCGACAAACTGGCTACCAAGCCGAGCACAGGCAGCATCCGGCCACTGGCAGCCCCTGCCTTGAGCACGCAAAGGGCACAAAGTTTCACAGACTCGACCAAGTGAACTGCTATGAACATCATCATCTGCCACAACTGAAATTGAAACCGATAAATCTGATTTGTCATCGCGTCCCGTCGTACCTTCAGGTTCTCTTCTAGGAAGACAGAGTATTTGCGAAGTTTCTGTTGGACTGCTTTCGCCATCAACGGTACAACCACGGCTATTTGTAAAATTAACCCTGCACCCCAATGACTCAACAGCTCGCTGTATAGCAGCACTTTCCTTGCTGGCTCTCTTTGCCAAGTTCACTGCTGAGCTGCTGACCTGTTTCTCGCTCTGTAGATCTGCATTCAATATTTCCATGGCCGCCAAGTATTCTTTAGCTTTCATCTCAGCCACTTCTTTCGCCTGTTAGCATCACAACACCCAATTAATTATACTTCGGAAAAATCTCAGCCTATCCTGGGCACCATGTATTTGTAGTTAAGCAGAGGGAAGGATTAGTGACCAAAACTGTAAGATTGAATACCTTTTGCAGTTCGGAAAACTTCATAGCCATGTTCCGGCATTCAGCCTCGAGTTCACTGGCTTGGGATTCAAAAGGACATGCCCAGCGAAGATGGAATTGGGGCCAAACCATTGGGGCTAAAGCAGCTGCTGGAGGTAAAAGTGGCCCATTGTGTTTCAGTGGATCATAGAAGAGGTTATAATGGGTGTGGGACCTTCCCTCCAAAGTACGCAGATAAGCCAAATAGGCCCACATGCATCCACAAGCTTCATCCACACCACATATTTGTCTCTCCTTCTCGCTGAAATTTTCAATTGAAAAAATTAACATAGAAATTAAAAAAAAATACAAAGAACCATAAGCTTATGCAGAAGATGGCAACGTCGATTCTGGAATAAATATGGCCATAGGGGTTAAACAAAAATATTCAACTATTTTCCTATATCAGTGCCAAAATTACGAAAAGAAGGCAGCACAAATTTAGATTAAGGATAGAGGCGTCAATGACCAGTTGTTCTAAACATCACGTGGAATTAACCCAATTTAATCTCAGAGGGTTGGTTGATAATATGATAGCTCCGTCTTAGGGTATACTTTTTTTTGATAAGAATGACAGGCCTCCTTAAAAACCTCCTTCTTGATCCAAGAAGGAGGAAAAGAGTGCCTTAGAAACTTTATTACTCCTCCGAAATTACATAAGATTTAACATAAACACCATACTGAAAAAACACAACAGACTAAGCTACTCAACAGAACCAAAAACCTAAACTCAAACGATAAAACGCACTGGAATAGATGGAAAGAAAATAAAATTTAAGATGAATTTCAGTTCCTGAAAACAAGTTGACAAAGGATTCCACATTATTTGGATTACATTTACATCTCTATATGCAGATCCAGGGAATCACTCAAATTTCATCACACGGCCAAAAACATAGAATAACCGCCACTAAAAAGAACTCATTTTCAAAATGGTGCATTTCTCAAATTACCTGTTACACAAGAAATTTCCGAAACGGCAAGAAAGCATATAATCCAAGAAATCCACCAGGAAAGTCTGAACCACCACAAAGTAAGAACGTTAACTATAGAGAAGACAGAATATAACAAAAGAAACATCCATGTCAACCTCATAAAAGAACTACAAAGTGAAAAGCAAGATATGCATGTCTTGTGTTAAAGAAAGATACATACTGAGGAGAACTCGAAAGCAAATGGATAAATCCTTAACAACTGCGAAACGCAATCAACCCACTGCAAAAGACCAGATGAGATTTCATCAGCAAAACACCTCTTTTTCAGCATCAGCCTTTCAATGATGATTCCACCCATTTCCCCCTCAGGGAGAACAAAGGGCATCTTTTAAACTAATGAATTTAAGTGTATATAAAAACCTCATGAGGATCATAATATAATTTTAGCAGTCCATTAAATTTAACAAAACTGCAAAGAAATGTTACTTTATTGATAGAAAAACCATATGTCAGCAAGTGTACCTGCAAGAATATGGGAGAATAATTGTTCTGAGCATGAGACGAATTGGATGCTTGAGGTGAGAATGACCCTGAAGATAGGCGTAAGGGTGACGTTGAAAAACTTCCTGTAGAAGCTTGTCTGGTTAATTCAAATGAAGATCCAGAGATGCTTGGCATTCCAACACGATCTGAAAATGGATGCCCAAAAGCTAGCCAATCTTTTTCGACAAGTGCCTGCATCAAGATAAAATAGTCCAGAACTGAAGAGGAAACTTGGTCTGTGGTTATACCAAGTTCATTGCACACTGAAAAACTAGCAGAATTTCGTGTGGATGTGACCAAGTGAAATAAAATACCAAAAGAACGTTTTTAGGGAGTAAGGGTACATGCTATTAGTATTATTGTTATGGTCCAAATTCATGTTAGGAAAGGCCCTTAATTTGGTTATTTAATTAAGGCTTAGGTTATGCTTTTATTTATTCCCATAGGTTTATTGGTTGTCTTTTTTTTTTCAATTGATTTATTTTCAATTTAAGAATAGCTTTCCTTTTATGTAATGAGTCAGGTCCTTATTTAAAAAGACGTATGAAATAATAAAACCTCAAGTCTGAATTTTATTAAAAACCCTAAAAAGATCTGGCTCTATTTTAAGAAGTTCTAAGGTTTCGGTCTCCCTTTGATGAGCTAAGATGTTTCAGTCTCCTCCGACAAGCTGAACCATTAATCCGACACTCGAGATCGCCAGATATGTAACAGTTATTGATCTTTAAAGTAATCGCAAACATGGGATGAAGTATTACACAGAAAAAGGTACAAGTAAAGCCTGGTGCATGATTTGCAGCTTGGGTTCAAGAAATAGAGAATGCAAAAACAAGGACAGTGAATAGTGGTTGACAAGATCTTTGTCCAAAAAATACCTGAAAACCAGTGAATGTGCGGTAATATGGATCAAGCATCAGGTTTGCAAGTGAAACCAGCTGACTTGTTCTATCCCATCCATCACTGCACAATAAAATAGCTAAGATAGAAGTAAGAAACACAAGAATAGAGGATTAAAAGAAGTAGAAACTATTTGTATTGTTAATATAAAAAAGAAGGTAAACAAGAAATGTAATGCCATTCACATAATTTACAGGTAGCCTCATCGTAAACGTTTTTGTCTGTGGACTGATAGTGGGAGAAGGTCAACAATTTTTCCCCTTTATTTATTTTCTAAGATAAATTGTGTCAGAGCTGCATATCATAATCAAATTTAGCCTTTGAGATTTCAACTGGGATTAGGATCACATAACTGTCTTTTTGCATGTTTAGTTTTTTTTTCTTTCCTCATTTCAACAATACATTAGGTTTCACTTCAGCCAACTCAGTACCAGTTAAACAAATTCACGTGAATAGCCTCAATCAAACATAATTTTTTTTTTATAA